AAAGAGAATTTTACCTTCCTTGAAAGCATACTAAATAATTCATTTATTTTATTTTAAAAATGTTTTTATTTTTAATAAATAATTTTATTTATTATTTTATGTGTATGAGTGTATTGCCTGCAGGTATGTGAGTGCACCCATGTCGTGCAATGCCATCTATTTTAAAAGGAGGAAGGGCTTCATAGTGACAAAAATTTGAAAATTAAAAAAAAAAATCCCAGATTTCACATTGCTGTGTCACAGGCTGAAAATGGTTGAGGAATTCTGGATGCTCTTAACTCGAGTTCTGGGGGAATCCAACGCCCTCTTCTGACCTCCACGGCATTGTATGACACAGGTGCACTCACATACATGCAGGCAATACACTCATACACATAAACTAATAAATAAAATTATTTTTTTAAAAAAGAAAAACCCCAAAATGATTTGACAGCAAGCTTGGTCCAAGTAGGATCTGCATATACAAATGACACTTTCTATTTCCCCCACAGTTTCTATATTCATAAGAACATCTGCCAGGAACTAAAGGAAGTCATTTCCACTAGAAGCTTTTCTCCAGACAGCATGACTATTTATTTTTTGCAAGGTTTAGGCATTTGATCCTCTCACTCCATTAGGCAATTACTTAAGCCAGTAGTTCTACCCAAACTGAAAACAATATGGCATACTATCTCAATGAAGTTTTGCTTTTTTGGTGAGTTCACTAGTTCAGTCATAATAAGGACACTTGAAAAATTATCTTGTGCAGCATAAACAGGAGATTTTGTAATGAATATGTAGTACATGTGGACTAGACGTTGGTTTATATCCTACAGTGTTAATCTCTATACAATAAGAAGTATATGAGTAAAGGAAATCGTTTTAGACAACCATTCAGATTTTTAGTAATGTAAGTGGACTGGATGCCTCTTGAAAAAGGTATCTTAACCACGGAGGGAATTTTGTACCTTTGGTAATCCTGGAATTATATCTGTAAGATCTAAACAATTTGTGTGGGCATTGTTGAAGGCAATTTAAATGCTTTAGTTTCCACTTGTCAGGGATTATTTGTTTAGATCTACTGGCAGACCATAAGTCCCTTTAAGAACACATCCATTTCATATAGAGATATGGAGATCAAACAAGTTATTTTCCTACATCAGTTATTTTCTGCCTTCTAGAGCTTCAGTAATTGGACCACTGCAAATTTCATTGCCTGTTTGCGAGACAAACTTATTCCTTGCTGCAATCAAAGAGACTCTTGAGTTTTGATGGCTTAGTATATTTAAAACTTATACTTGGATTGGATCGGAGAAAAAGAAATAATCATGCTTTTAATGTAGCATTTCTCCTTTGAGAGAAATGAAATCTTTTTTCATTAAAGCCTTATTATTTTTCCCCCTACAACCCTGATAGTTAATACTTTCTGGAAGTTGAAACATTTATTCATTTAGTCATGATTTGTTGAACACAGCAACCAAGTTAGCTCCAATGTTTCCCCTTTCCAGTGGTTTCAGGCTCTTCACTTTTAGTTATCCTTGGTTAACTGTGGCCTAAATATTAAATAGAAAATCCTAAGATAAATGCCTCATATATTTTAAATTGTGTACCATTCTAATAGTGGGATGAAATCCCAAATCTTGCCACCCTGTCCCACCTGGTACTTGAATCATACCTTTGGCCAGCTCATTCATATTGTATATGCTACCTGCCCAGCCTAACAGCCATGTTGACTATTAGCTGACCTGTTGTCCACTGCCTCAGTGCTTACATTCAAGTAAGTCTTATTTTGCTTAGCAATGGCCTCAAAGTGCAAGAATAGTGATGGCATTATAGGTATGCCAAAGAGAAGTTATAAAATATTTTGAAAGGCTGCATTATAATTTTTCTAAGTTATGGTGAGTGACTATTAATTTTTCATTGTACTAGGTTTATAAACTAAGCTTTATCATCAATATGTAAATATAGGAAAAAACCCCCAGCATATGAGTTTTGTACTATCTGCAGTTTTAGACATCCACTTGGGATCCTGGAATATATTCCTCATGGAACACTTTAAGAAGACTGTCAGGTGTGACCCCTGTTCTCTATAAGCATATGGTATAATGGTTTGCTTGGCCTATGTTTTTCTGTATAACTTCTGTATTACAGAAAAGACTTGACCATGGGGAAATGACTTTTTTCAAGCAGATTTTAAGTGAAATTTGGAATGTACTAATATCCAAATATACCCCCAACTGTAGACTACTATAGTTTCCTTTAATTTATAAGGAGCAGCTAAGCAAGAAGGCCCTCCACTTGTCAGTGTCATGTTTGAAGAGTGTACAGATCAGAGATTTGGGACTTAGAGTACATTTTATTTTTAGATGACAGTGCTTAAAAAGTTGAAGCTGGGTGTGCTGGTGCATGCCTTTATCCCAGAGCTCAGGAGGCAGAGGCAAGTGGATCCCTCTGAGATGGAGATTAGCCTGGGGTGGTTTACATAGTAAGTTTCAGGCCAGCTGGGGCTACATAGTTGTGATCCTGCCTCAAAAAACCAACAAAAAGTCCAATGCATGATTATATGATATATATTATATTCAATGCTATTGAACACATCTTTTGACATTATCAATTATTCCCTCATATGAATTCATAACATGAATGCTTCTAAATATTTGAATATTTGGTATCTCATTGACAAGAGATCATATGAGAAGAATGTTATTTTCATTTTTCTTCCTTCTGTTTTGAGATAAGATTTTTCTCTATAGTCCAGGTTTACCTGGACCTCACAATGTAGCCCAAGATGGCTTCGAACTCATGGGTAACCTCTTGCCTCAGCCTCCCAGGTGCTGGAATTATAGAACAGTACTGGATTACAGTTAAGAGTGATTACTTCTGGCTTTAACATTTTTTTCTTTTGCATAGATGGGGACGGAACCCAGGGTTTGTGCTTCTGCTTACTAGGCAATGGCTCTACCACTGAGCTAAACCACCAGCCCCTAACCTGGTTTATTCTTCAGTATTAACCAGCTAGGTTGGTATTTTGGATATAGTGTTTTTATTATCATTCACATGACTCAGAAAACAGCTTTAGAACCCTATTTTAAAAAATGCCTTAAAATGTTAATTTTAAAAATAACTATTTTCAAGCTGAGTATGGCAGCACACACCTGTAATCATTGTACTTGGGAAGCTAAGGCAGGAGGAACCACAGTTTGAGATTAGCCTACCTACAAACTCCTTCCAGGGCACTTTGGGCTACATTAGTAAAACGTGCTCTTAAAACACCAAGAGCTTCGGCTGTAGTTCAGTGGTACAGCACTTGCTTAGCATGTTTTGAGGTTTGAGATGAATCTCACTTCCTGTGGACAACAGTACAACTGTCATATTTACCAGGTTTCTGGGTCATTCAGGACAGACCAAAACAAATGAAGCACAGGGAAGTACAGATTGACCCTATGTGCTGCATATTTTCAGATAAAGTTGAACATTTCTAATTGACTATTATATTTTTATTCTTTTTGCATAGTCAGAAACGGTGCAAGAACTGAGCCCAAGTCCATAACTCAGTGTCTATTGTAGAAGAGCATTCAACCAGCATCTAATTAAGTGCTTGTTTAACTTATGAATAAGTGACTGTCCAAAGATTAGCATGCTAGAAAAACTCATATCAGCCTTGAAAATGAACACCTAAGAAAAAGATTAAAGGGTACAGTGGATGCTGATTCCCCAGTGGGATTACTGACTCACATTACTGTCAAGTAGAGAGCCAAATTTACTGAGTTAGAATGTTGGGGGTAGCTGTGGAGGAAGAAATGATGTGAAGGAATCCTGTATTTTTATTAAGATCCCCAGGGGATTCTAACACAACCAGTCTGGCAAAAGCCTATGGATCAGTACCAGGAAGACTTGGGGAGACCTGGGAAGCACTGAGTGAGCACTGGATCAGCACTAGGAAGCACTGGTTCAGTACTGAATCAGCACTGGGCCAGCACTGGGTGAGTATTAAGGAGCACTGGGAAACATTGGTATATGGGATGTCAACTGGATAAGGAGTTAAAAACTTAGGTTTGGAACAAATTACTTAACCTTTGCAAACTTCAGTCTCTTTATTGAGAAGCTTCATTTCTAAGCCTCCTAGTGATTTTTAAGGTTCTTTTGTGCCTAATACATTGTGATTCTGTTAGCTTTGTCCTTCATGGCATCCCAGAGTAAACCTCTAATGGAGGAGGAAATTAACAATGAAAATGTCTAATTTAAGAGAAGATTAAGCTGGGTACATATTCCACAAACAAAATTCCGAACTCTGGATTGGATTGTTACTGCACCAGGAATTTGTGCATGCGTATACAAATATTCTAATGCATCTTATCGTCTGAGGATAGAAGTGTCTAGGGCAGCAAAATCTGATTTCTTGATCACTGACTTTAGTCACTGCATGTACACGGTATGTATATGCCTAGATTTATATTCCCACATCCAGTAGAACTTGATCATAGTGTCTGGTATGGGTATGGGAGATAGCTCAGTAGGTATGAAGGCTAAGTTTACATCCTAAGAACCTATGTAATGCTAGGTGCAGTAGTGCAAATCTGCAGTCCCTACAGCGAGTTGTGGGGTGGAAAAAGACGAATTCCTAAAGGTTCACAGGCAGCTTAGTCTGGTGAATGCAGTAGTGAACAAGAGACGCTGTCTTAAATGTGGGGGAAGGCAAAGCCCAACACCCAAGGTTGTCCTTTGACCTCCACAGAGAAGCAGCACACACACATACATGCCTGCACACACAGACACAGACACATAAGTTTAAAAAAAAGTTGAGTTGTTAAAGAAGGAAAAGTGAATAACAGAACCATAAGTTGCTGATTTTAGTGAAGATAATGAAGTTTTCTACCATTGGGCACCATCCAATCTACTTCTGTTAGTTGATAAATCTTCTAAAAGAAATGGATTGGTGCAAATGCCTCCCTCAGGATCATGTGAAGACAAGACATTTAGTACAATGATTTCCAGAACTGATTCTGAAAGGGATCACTCACCTTGCTTTAGACAGAGGCTTTCATTGGCCAGTTTCCCCTCTTTGTTGACCTCTATTCTCATCCAGCTATGGAGGTATTTCTTGTCCTTTCTTACCACTACTTTGGGGCCTTGTTTCTTGAGAAAGAGAGAGGTACTTTCCACCTCAAGGAAACCTTTCTGCTCATGGCAGGTCCATCGGGGTGCCTGGGCACAGTGGATGCCGACCACTGCACGGAAAGGGCCCCCTGAGGAGTTGGAGACACCAAGGCACAGTGCAGATTTAAGGTGAAGAAGCTTCCCGTCCTCGGTCCACAGCCACTGCTGGTTCTGGCTGGTGCCATTGCATGAGCCCATGATCACCTTCTGCTTTATGGAAAGGCACTGCTGTTTGTGGACATGGACAATCTGGAACCCCTCTGGAAGATGAAAAGCTTATAAACTATGTCATAAGGGCCATTAAATAGCAAGAACACCTAGGTACCCACAAATCAACTAAGTAAAAACACCAGGCTTTCTTATATTTTGTGCTTTCTAGCATTGTAAGTGAATAATCCCAGATTCAGATCACATGATTTAAAAATCCTAAGGGGGGAAGGGCAACCCAAGCAAGCAAACAAAACTAAACAAAACAAGAAAAAAAGAAAGCATCCAGATTGATACCAAATGACAAAATGTCATACTTAGCTCTCCCTTGTTAAACTTTTACATGATTTAGTGAAGAGAACACATCCTCATGGGAATAGCAAAGGAATCTTGGAAAGGAAGCAAAATCATTCAAAGAATATGGTTTTTCTCTAGATGAGGAAGGCACATCAAAAAGTGGTGTGCAGCTTTAGCTTGTTACTTATGCAAAGCTCAGCTTCCCTTTCACCATTTGATTCTTTCTGTTTCACAGTCCTTCCCAACTCTAAAAAAAAAAATTCTCTTTCCAGTCCTTAAGCTCAGGGAGTATTTGTTTACAAGTTGCATAGTTTGAATAAGTACTTAAAAACTAGGCCCATTTGTCAAAAGATAATAAAACAGAATTTCCCACCTCTCCAAGTACAACTAACTTCTAGCTAACAGCAAACAATGAAAGTTTTGTTTATCAGAAGCTAAATTTCCTATAGTTCTGGAGAGAAGCATTTATTTGTGACAATGTTTATAGTTTTCCACCAAATATTAAGAAATTTTAAACTATCAGCATTTCTTGACATAGAGAAGTAAATACACAGTCATTAAACATTCATACTAAAAAGTAAAATATTCAGGCTCAGAAGTAATTTTCAATGAGTTTTTAACATAAACTGCCTAGGTTTCCCATGTTTTCATAGGCGAGCTTATATTCAGTCCCCACAAATGACAAATTCCAAATAAAACACACTTCCTCACCCTCTTTAATACATTCCTTATATTTTCTTTCTTTAGTACAAAAGAAAGCGAAACTATGACTTGGTTGGGAAAAAGCACAGAGAATACAACACTGTTATGCAGTAATAAAGGTGTCTTCTCAGAGCCCTTCACTCTGAGGCCCTTCCTTTCAGGAGCTGAGCTGCCCAAGGCACTTGGTGGACCTGACAACACTTATTTTGCTTTTGGAGAGAAATCTCAGCATTGTGGGTACAGCTGGCTCCTTTCTTATTCCCCTTCCCCGCCGTCTTTGGCTACACTGCCATGGAGACCTGGCTCCAGTTCTCCCCTATTTCCGGATACTTTTCAAAGGCCAAGGGCTGCCTCAGCTAGCTTTCTCAGAGATGCCCCAGGAAACTGAGGCAGACCCACTCACCCGAGCGTCCGAGGATCAAGCAGGTAAGAATCGCCATGTAAAATTCAGCCTCCATTTTCCACTTAACAACGGTTCATGCTTCGCTTGGGGGGGAAAATTCTCCCAGATAAGAGAAGCAAAGACTAGGAAGGAAACGTGCCTTCAGGGAGAGGGGAAAAGTCAGTGACACACTTCCTCCAATTGAATTGTTTGGGGGAAGTTTTACACCAGTGTCCTTTTGTCTGTTTCCTTAGAAAGAAGGGATTATGAGTATATCTCTTTTTCAAATGTAGATCTGGCCTCCCAGGTGAATGAAACTTTTCAGGCCTTCACCCATGTTTTTGGCACATGACTACCTCTTAATCCCAAGAAGGGGGGAAGGGAATTGTAATCTTAGCTAATTGAGAGAGCCCTGCATTATGACTTCTTTTTAGGTGACATGATTCTGCTGAATATAAGTAAACTGTATAATTTATGGGGATCTGTGACAAGTGCTATAAAGACATAAACTTTGTATAATGAGATGCTGGCGTCTATGAGGAAAGCCCCATAATGATGCCACTTCTAGATCATTAACTCTCAAGTGATGACAAGTTTGTATTTGGAGAGCATCATCTCCACCCGGGAGATGCAGAGACTGAAATTAAACCCATCATGTTACCTTCTTCAAGCTTCCCCAAACAGAAGCTGGTCTCTTTCCAAATTAGAGGGTGAGGGAGAAAAGAACATGCTTCATTCACTATTTAATGTTGAGAGTCGTTTATTGGCAGTATGAAAGAAAGTTAACATTGCTATGTTGAAAATTCATATATGAGCAGAACATCTCGTCTTTGCTGAGAGTAGTTGTTTTAGCTTTGTTTGTCTCTTGAGGACTGAAACCCTTCAGAATGTGAGGACATTCACAGCGGCATCCTTATGATGAACCTCTGGAATAGGACAGGTTGGTGCATCCCCAAAAGACACCTGGCTTTTATTGGGAGAAAGATTCCAGGTAGACAGTATATTCAAAAATCCCTTCTTAGTAAAAGAAAGACAGGTATTTAAAATTCTTGATACTTGATAGTTGCTATAAATGTATTTATCCCTCTTTAAAGTAAAACAAGTCACAATGTAGAAATATAGTGGCAGAGGGTTATGGAACAGGAGCCATCTTTATGCCTAAGAGTAGGAGGTTACATATACATATATATATGTATACACACATATATATGTATATATATATTTCCAGTGACAATCATTGTGCATTGTGCTCTACAATTGATGATTAGAAGGTTCTATAAATACACATTTAATAGATATTATCAAGACACATTTCCATATAAAATAGTTACTGCATTTGATTGTTTTTTTCAAAAACAAAGAACTTATTTGTTAAAAATTCATTATTGATCACTTGCAACTTTAGCAGCAAGATTCTGGTAACTGAGATAGGTAATAGCACTTAAAACAGGAACAGCTGAACAGTGACAGTCCATTCACAAGACAGACTTTGCAAACATTAAAGCATCTAAACACACAATAGTGACTTCTTCAGCAGCTCCTCCCGTCACTTGATGACAGTTACCACTGAATATTATGTATTACATACGTACTACGTATTACATACATACATTCTGTGTGGTAGACAGTCAATAGAGACAAAACCAAATCGACCATAGGCTGTGTGAGAAATGATCATACTTCCATCAACATAGGACCTTCCAAATAATTTGGGGAGGATGCTTACAAATACATTCCTATACACAAAGGGCTAATAATCTTTCAAGTTGCTGGGTCTCCACAATCTATGCCACAGGTTGGCTTCAGAGCTCCTCTTCCATCGCAGGAAGCTCCTTCTGGAAGCCTTACGTAGGTAATTTGATTAATCACCCACAAGAAATTGATGCTCAGGTAAATCTTCATGAAGTCACTACACAGTTTCTGTTGAAAGTTTGCTCTCGTACAGGCATAGAGCATGATGCACAAATTCATACTGCTCACTGGTTTGGACCATTCCACCCCTGAATGGAAAAGATCATAAAATAACTTGATTTTGTTAGCAATCTGCAATATTGTAACCCACACACTACATTAAGACTAGGATATTAGGTCAAAGACACAGAGTAGTTGACCTAATAATTCTTTTGTTGTCCTTCTTACCTGCGTCTAAACATTCTGGCTGGTGAAGTTAACATATTAATGAGCTGTGTAACAATATCATGTCAAGATGTATTACTCATGTGTTAGCAATAAAGTTGATGCTGCACACTAGCAAGCAGAACAACTCTGCATGCTGACAATTGTATGAAAATCTAGCATATATTATGTACACGCCCTCATAATTAATAGTGGTAATAAAGGACTTTGTTGCCAGGTATCATTTGTATTTACTGTACTTCTGATTGTTATTTAGCGTGTACTCCTAGTTGAATTTGCAAAGCTGACTGGAAAATGGAATGCAATGTTAGGCCAGCAGCCACCGTACACATCTCTTAGTTACTGTGCTTCTTGATTGCATCATCCTCTCCTGTGTTTGATCTAATCCCCTGTGGTTTATTCTTCGTGGCTTTAGGAGAAAACAGGTGATACTACACATATAGTGCTGTGTTATTTAGGTCTGTGCAAGTATACCATATAATGTTCGTACAGCAACAAAATTGCCTGATGATACATTTCTCAGAATGCCTCTCCATCATTAAGTAACACATGATTCTCTCTCTCTCTCTCTGTCTCTCTGACTCTCTCTCGGTCTCTGTCTCTGTCTCTGTCTCTGTCTCTCTCTCTCTCTCTCTCTGTATACCTGGCATAGTAGGTTTATAATTAACTAATTAATTGTTCTTTCTTTCTTTTGAGACAGGGTCTTCTTATAGCCCCCAGCTGATCTGGAACTCACCATGTAGGCCAGGCTGGCCTTGACAGAGAGCCACCTGCCTCTGCCTCCCAAGTGCTAGAACTAAAGGCATGTACCACCACGCCCAGTACACCATTTTGGTATTTTGAGACAGGGTGTCATTTAGCCCAGGCTATCTTGAACTCACTGTGTAATGGAAGATGATTTTAAACCCTCGTCCTCCTGCTTCTACCTGCGAAGTGCTGGACATGTTAATTTTAAATTTTACCTACCTACCATTACTGGAGGGATGATATAGCCTTAAAATTGAATGCTTGGACTTTGGAACCAGGTTGTCTAGCTCAAATATCTCCTGTGCTAATTCTTGCCTGTGTGATTTCACACAAATTTCTTAAGAGCATTTAGAACTCAATCTCCTTCTCTGGTAAAGCAGGACAGTGACTATTTTATGAGATTATTATAAGGGTTAAGTAAATTCAATGTAACTACAGCAGAATATTATTTCATTGGTGTCATATTATTCATCTTTTGTTAAAGCACTTTATGCATTTGGATTAAAACTGCTCAAAGTAGGTTAACAAAACACAGCTCGGTTGTGATATATTGCTCTTCCCGCAAGTGAAAGATCTCCCTTATGTTGGCTTATTTGAGGATGTTTCAAGAAAATAATCAGCCTATGGGCGTGCTGCATATCTAACAGAATGGTGGGTTGATCCTCCATTGAGTTGGAACCTGGGAATTGACTCTTGCTTTTCCTCTTTGTTGAGACCATTATCATCACCAGCTGCTCAGTGTGGTGTCATGGATCAGTGGAAGGCAGCTGCTGTGTGAGAAAATTCACTGCTTCTCATCATACTTTTATATATGGAATACTTTTATTATATTTTCTCCTATGATGAGAACTTTTTAGCTTGATAAAATTGCCAGACATTAGTACAAAAGTTATGTAATTTTCATGGTCACTGAATAATAGCATCACTATAGTAATTATTTGAAGTCTGGTAAACTCTCCCTAACTTTGCAATCATACAACTAATCTATATTTTAATATAATTCTATTTTTTTAGCTAGTTTTTTTCTAGTGGTGGTTGGTACCATTCAAAATAATTTTCAAGTCATTTTGGCACTTTAATTTAAAACCATGATGTAGTGTATCACTGTCACATGACCTCTTGTCAGCTAAAACTAGCCTTCTATCTATGCTTACTTATCTGGTAGAAATACTAAAGCAGCAAGATTTCATCCACTGAGACAACCAGTGATTCCTCAGGGTTGACAAGGTGCCAAAATGGTGTATTCAGCAAGAAATAAAGAGGACGATTCAGTTTCCAGTGATAGCAATTTGTTGGTGGAAATAGTGCAACAGTCCTTTCCCTACAACTGTATGTTTTGTTTGGCCAAGTGATACTTGGTCAGAAAGTAACAACAGAAGTGGTCAGTCAGGTGATCATTCACTAACTTTCTTTTCTTAGCTAAATGATATCTAAGCATGCCTAAAAACCAGTAGGTGTCCAGAAGATTCTGGTCTGGACTGAAAAGCTTGAGAGATGAAGCCACAATAAACATTAGGCAGCTCCAGGGCACCAAGAGGTGCCTCACTTCTTGATATCTGCTCGGGGAATCAGTACTCCCACATGAAGCTGCAGGCTGTATATGGAGCTTTGTGGAGCTGCAGCTCTTTGGGCTCTGGTCTGTGAACTTCCTCTCACCGTTTACCTCACTTGAATGTTCTGGCCAGTACTGGCATTTACATGTCCAACTGGTAGATGAATGGGACCACAGTCTAGGTTTTAATAACTACTTCAATCTAAGTGGGTCAGCAGTATATGTTAACGGCTAAAGCAGACTCACTGTGACATTCTGTTAACTAGGTCGAGGTTGCTGCAGCCAGTGAAGGTGGGCAAGATGGGAAAACACAGTTGTAGACTGGTCAAATTCTTGTAGGTCTGAAGACTTACAGAAAATATATGAAAAATTCTATTACTATGCATTTCATTTGGGAAATAAGAACAAAAGTGGCATCAGAGGAATCCTTAAAGGTGATTCATACCAAGCGCTGACAAAAAGCCAGGTTTTTGATGGTCAGCCAGCTTCTGAGATGCTCATGGGGAGTGATGCCTTGAGAGGCAGGCTTCCTGAAGGAGGCAGAAAACTTCTGAAGACATCAAAATGAATGTGTCCCTCCCTAACTTTTTCACCTCATTGGCCAACTGAAATAACTCCAAGAGGTCTTAAGACTCCCCTCTCTAAATTCTGGAAAACAACCATCAAAGTCCTATAATCTTTCTTCTCTAGACTAAACATCCTGTGGTTACTCAACATTTCTGCAAAGCCTGGTTTCCCTGTCACTCACCAATCTGGTCTCCTTCTTCTATATTTTATGAAATAAGACTTCCCTACGATGTTATGTCTATTCCAGAAGGGATCTTGTCAGTGAGCAAATTCTCTCCCTTAGCTACACATTATAGACCAACAAGTTTGCCTCTGCAGGTGTGTGAAGAGGTGAAACCCACAGGGCCTGCATGGTGTCTAGTACTCAGCAAGCATTTTAGGATAATGAATGAGCACAGGCTAATTAAAAAGTCAGCGGGACTATTTTTTATTGTGAAAATTACAATTTTCTCTCATCCTGTACTCAGGCTACAGAAAATTTAAAACTAAGTGCAAGAACTTATATTTGTTCCTGTTAACTTCAACTTGCTAACCCTTGTTCTGAGCAGTGTTCTTGTGTACCGAATCATTATTTCTAACAGGCAATATATTAGTCTTCTACTCCTAACTTCCAGTACCTGCCTACCAGATATTTAACAAGCATGCCTTGCATCTTATTTAAGTCATTTATAGAAAAAATAGAAAAAGACAGGACCAAGATAAGGTCTTTATTATATTTTCATATGTTACGTACTGCCTAATCACACTTTAAAATTGTTTCCAAGTAAGTTAGAGATCTTTTTTTTTTAAGTTTCATTTTTATTTTATGTGTGAGTATATTGCCTATATGTATGTAAGTGCACCTATGTCGTGCAATGCTTGCATATGTCAGAAGAAGTTGTTGGAGCCCCTGGAACTGGAGTTACAGATGGTTGTTAGCCACTATGTAGGTGCTGGGAATTGAACCCAGGTCCTTGCAAGAGCAGTCAGTTCTCTTAACCACTGAGCCATCTCTCCAATCCCAAACTAGAGGTCTTTCAAGGTCAAGCATAATGCCCTAATCTTTCCAAAATTGCGACAATAAAAAAGTCTTACCAAATCCTAGATCAAACAGGCACTCTAAACTAGTTCTAGATGAAATAGGTGATCTATCAAGTAGGTAATCCAGGCCACACTATTTTTTTTCTTGTGGTTTTCTTTTGAGGCAGTCTCTGTAGCCACAGCTGGGATGGAACTCAGTATGGAGACCCGGCTGACTTCTGGTCTCTTAGAGATCCACCTGCCTCTGCCTCTAAGTGCTGGGATTAAAAGTGTGTGTCACCACACCTGGCCATGTCATATTGTTTTATGTCATGTGAAAACAGATAAACCCTGTGCCAAAAGAAAGCAGAGTATCCCAGGATGCATTTATTAGATGCTGGTAAAATTCAAGAATTCGTCATGATCATCTCAGAAAATATTTAAGAAATGTCTCACTGAATATATCGGTATGTAAGATAGTCCATTGACCTTTGTAAGAAATTAAAAACTAGGGATTACCCTTCAGATTGTATTCTGTTATGGAGAAAATACCATCTTTTTGTAAGCTGGCAAAATAAAACAAAACTATAGGAAACTAGTACAGTGTCTGTATATAAAATATTTTAATGGAATAAACAAATAAAGCTATATAAATTATGGGATCCTCAAGAGAGTTTCATGAATTACATAGTAATTCATCCTCAAGTTTAGCTATGACTGGTCCCAGGTACCTCTTTAGTCAGGCAGGGTTCCGTGAATTTGCTGAAATCTGCTTCTATAGCACAGATTCAAAGTTCCTAATATAAGCTGGTTCCAGAAGGTAAGAGGCAGGGAAGCTCTTTTTATTACTTTAAAAAAGCATCGTCATAAAACAAAAGCAAACAAAAAGCCAAAAAGGCATTTTCCAACTGGCACTTAAAGGGCAGACAATAAAATAATCCTTTACTTCCAGTAGATCATAGTTTAAAATCAGCCAAAGTTAAGATTTTGAAAGATGTC